AGTAGAACTGTGTGAAAGGGAGAGTGTGGTACAGTGTAGTTGGGAGAGTAGTACTGTGTGAAAGGGAGAGTGTGGTACAGTGTAGTTGGGAGAGTAGTACTGTGTGAAAGGGAGAGTGTGGTACAGTGGATTATGGAGAGTGTGCTACAGTGGGATAAGCAGAGTGTGGTACAGTGGGATAGGGACATTGTGCTACAGTGGGATATAGAGAGGTGTGGTACAGTGGAGGGGAGAATAATACAGTGTGATAGGGAGAGTGTAGTGCATTGGGTTGTGGAGAGTTTGGTACAGCGGGATGTGGAGAGTGTGGTAGTGTTGGATAAGGAAAGGTTGGTACAGTGTGATATGGAGAGTGTGGTACAGTGGGATATGGACAGTCTGATACAGTGGGATATGGAGAGGTGTCGTAGAATGGGATAAAGAGAGTGTGATACACCGTGGTTAGGAGAGTTGGTACAATGTGACAAGAAGAATGTGATACAATCGGGTATGGATAACGCAGTACAGTAAATTCGGAAACGGCTTATATGGAGTCATTACTTTCGGTTAATTCTTCTTTGACTGTGCGGTGATCTGTGTAGACTGCTCTCACTAAACAAAGCAAAAATGGATGAACCTGTGTCAGCTGATTATTATTTTTTTTTTCCCTTTTTTCCCCACAAGTATTCCAGCATTTGAGGTTGATCATTCCAGATATCTCCCGCCTCCAGTCATCTCTGTGATTGGTCCTCCCTTTCCAGTTGGTGACTCCAGGTGTTTGTGGGTCCACCCGTATACTGTGTCATCTGTCCTGGGTATTCTTGGTCTGCCTCGTGGTCTACAGCAATTCAGCTCTGTTATGTACTCAATTTTGTATCTCTCTGTTATCTGTCATTCTCTGTATATGACCAAATGGTGCTATTATTTTAATCCATCCCATCTCGGGGAATCCGAGAGTTCCAAGGAAGAGTCCAATATCATAAGGTAGTTAGGGTTAGAGTTAGTCGGTGCTCATGTCACACTGCAACAACCCTATAATATTAAACTTTACCTGGGAACGCACCAGGAACTTTTGTAGTCGCCGAGACTGAGAGAAAAGGAACCAACAGTATGCATACAAATAAGTGAGATCTGGAGAAAGACAAACCGGATGTACATGCAAAACTCAAGTTCTGGAACAGGAACAGAAGTAAAAGAACAATCAGAGAAAAGGAATTTACAGCAGGCGAACGTTAAGAAAAAAAAAATTACAAACCTATTTAACATTTTACTAATATACTATTGAAAGAAATACATTAATGTAAATGTTAGTTTTGCAACGACTACTTTAGTTAGCTGCGTATCCTTTACAGGACGTTGCAGAACCAACCCAGCATTTTGCGGCTGTTATGCAAATTTACGTACAGTAATTTGCCATTGCGGTCGGCTTCTCGATTCCACTATCGAAACCAACGCAAGGCCCGCAGCTGGGATCGAACCCGGCACCCCGGCATTAATAAGCACGTTCGCAACGCCTGAGCCACGGACGCCGATAACGACTACTTACATTTATTTAAACATTACAACTGCAAAAACTTATTAATTTTAGACAAAGTTTCCTATTATTATAATAAGTATTTATTTTGAAATAATTACGACTCCTACAAGACTGATTTATATGTGTATGAGACCACAATTATACTCACAAGAAATATTAATCATCGTGTGACTGCTGCTACTGCTATCACTGAATCACTAAGTATACTAATTGTTAAAAGTGCTTGTGTGCGCATGCTCTACTCAATACGTCAGGTATAATTCAGATGGTTATAATAGAATTTATGTCAACTATAGAGCTGTAGGCTTTTTTCGTGACATGAGGAAAAGGGGGGGGGGGGTGGGGGGGTAGGGAAAGGGTTGCCCTGGACTGTAAGTACTGTCTCGGGCAATGACAGTTCAATAATCTTCTTTTGGTGTTGATGGGGCAGAAAAGAAGAGGCATCAAAAAATAACAATAGAAACGTAGTAGGAGAGAAAGATAGTAGGAGATGAGGAGAAAGGAAAGAACGAGCAGACATGAGGTTAGAGGAGGAAAAAAAGGAGGGGGGTGTGATAGAGGGGGAAGAGGAAAATACCGAGAAGAAGTGGAATAAGAGGAGGAGGGATGTTGGAGGAGGATGATGAGGACAAGGATGAGGAGGAGGAGTAGGAGCAGCAGCAGCAGAAAAAGAAAAGAAAAAAAAAGAACAAGAAGAAGAAGAAACGGAGGATGAGAAGGATGTATTAATGCTATTTAGGTAATTCCCCTGATGACGTCACGGAGACAAACACCCATTAACATAAATCATAATATTTGGTAAATTTAAAAACGAATGGCCAAGTTTAGATTGCGTGAAGGTCGACGTGGTATTTTTCTTCTCGCTTATCCCATCTCGTAGACTTCCAGATATCGTGGGGAGTTGCAGGGAAACTCTAACAGTGCTATGGTGTGGAATGAACACCAACTATAACCGTCCCCCGGGAGTTAGCACCCTTTGAATATTTTTTTTTTTTTTAATGGCATGCACGTGTGTTGGGAAACAAACAAGCAGAGGAACTCACTGGTACTGATTTCACCACTTGGCCTAAACTAGTGCATGACAGGCTAGACGTGAATAACACCCTATAGGAACAAGTCAACAGTCCGAAAGCCCGATAGATGGGCATGTTCCCGCAAGAATTGTGCAGCTTGAGGTGACCATGAGGATGTTGCCGACACTCCACACACAAGAGGACAGCAAAAAAACGGACATGCGATCACACATCAGAGTCTTGGTGGCCCATTGTCTCGTTGGTAGACGACTTCGCCGTCGGTCAGGACAGTATTTGGGTCTGTCTCCTGTGATCGCATAAGTCTTTTTTCAAGGCTCTTGGTAGCGAGCAATGCTAAGCCATCTTAAATGGCACACATAACCTAGTCACAATTTTAACCCAAAGCTACCCCTTCAGGGATGCTGGTTAAAGGTAACGATTTTTGGAGCAAAGCATTGGCGCGGAACGGACATGCGATGGAACTGCTGCAAGTGTAATCGGAATTGGAACTCGTGACAATATCCTGAGTGCTTTCATTTCCTTTCTGGACTCAACTTAACTAGTGAAGGACTTAACATTTTGAAGTGTCCACTGTAGACTTCCAGTTATCATTATTATTAGATTGGTTGCTGCTGTCATCAAGGTGGCAAGCTACTTTATGAAAACAAAAGTGTAGTGAGGGGTCTTTGGAATCAAGCACGAGAAAACATAGTTTAAACTAATAAAGGTAAAGCTTTGTCCAGACAAACACTATTAGTGGACTTAATAAAAGCCTATAAAACAGGCGCAGTTTTAATCAGGTTGAGACTATTTAGAAACTTGTTATTGAAGAAAGGGGCAGAACGTGGGGACAATAAGCCACAAGTGTTGTGATGTCAACTCATTAATTCATTTATTCATAACAATGGTCTTTAATTGTATCTTTCACCTGTAGTTCAATTCAACAGCCAGATACTCAGAATTGCATTTTTCAAAAGACAGCACTCTCGCAGCAGACTTGCATCTTTACATGAGATTTTAGCTTAGCAGTGGTGCATTTTAACTGTGGCATTTCCTGCCACCTATAATTTAAACAAGTGACTGTGGTATCTTGTTAGGTAAGTGAAATTGAACTAACGAAGAAGCGAACAAAAAAAAAAAAAAAATAATAATAAATAAAAACAGCTTAGTGACTGGACGCTTGAGTGTCAGTCTGAAGGTTTCGAGTTTATATCCGCATCAAGGAGAATTCTTGTCTTCAGCTCCTGATCGATTCAGTCTAAAATGGGTAATACATAATGTCACTAAAAGTAAAGGTGGCCGATGTGGTGTTGACCTATGAAGTGTTGACCGGTCTAAATATGATGGAAACTGGTCCTATTTGCTCCATGCCCCTGTGACGTGAAAAGGTGTCGTTTAAAAATGCTAGATATGGAGAAATGGCAGCCATTGTGATCCTTCTCGCTTTATATTTTATTTCACTGTCAAATCAAAATGGTCTCCGAGATAAGGTAAATCGAAAAACCATAACAGACAGAACATCCGTCACAGACACGAGTGATTCACATAAACAAACATAGGGGGGTTAACCTTACGGTCGCAGAAACATTGACACATAATAAACATAAAATTTACTGATGGGCACTCACAAACAGAAGTAGAAACATAGAAGAACATAAGACCGATTTCAGCGTGAAGGGAGCTGAGGGCATTGACAACACTCAAAGGACAGGTTAGAAAAGAGCAGACTTTCAACGAGCTACTGGCACAATCAGTATGGAACGTCTACTTCGCCTGCTGCAAGTGGAGACCAAGCATAGGAGGGATTCTTTCGTTAGTTATTTCGCTCAATCATTCATCCATTCACACGTTCGTTCCTTTACCCTTCCGTTCACCCGTTAATTCAGTCATCTATGAATGATTTAATTCATTCACCATCATTCATGAACAAATCCATCACCTAAGCCACTCGAGAAGCAAAAGACAACTATGGAAAACCACGACACTGAGCTACAGCCAAGAACACACATACACACAGACACACCGGGAGGGGGGGGAGGAGAAAGAGAGAGAAACAGAGACAGACAAAGAGAGAAACAGAGAGAAAGAGAGAGAGAGAGAGAGAAACAGAGACAGACAAAGAGAGAAACACACAGAGAGAGAGAGAGAGAGAGAGAAACAGAGAGAGAGAGAGACAGACAGACAGACAGACAGACAGACAGACAGACAGACAGACAGACAGACAGACAGACAGACAGACAGACAGACAGACAGACAGACAGACAGACAGACAGACAGACAGACAGACAGACAGACAGACAGACAGACAGACAGACAGAGACACTCATACTTAAAGACAGAAAGACACACATATACACAGGCTAGATCGACTTACTCGCATGCATACATATACTAATTCAGACAAACAAGACAGCCAGACTTTCGCTCATACAGCCAGACAGACAGTGAACTGGCATAACAAAAAGACTAACCTGTTGAGGAGGAGATATTTTTTGTGACCATCGTAACTCTTACAGTGGCCAATGTGCGAGATGGCGTGGGCCGTGATTTCTACGTTACCGAGTCCGTTCTGGAACCACTTGCCTCTCCAGCTTTCGGGGAAGCTACAGCCTTGAGGACCTGCAGGAAGAACAATGGGACACACATGACATGAGGGAATCAGCCATGTTTACATGTCACGAAAACTATACTAAACAACAGATATATGTCTAATCGAAAGTGAAGATGGTGGACACACACACACACACACACATAGTGAGAGAGACAGTGAGCGAGAGATTGACAAAGATGGTCAGAGTCAGAAAGAGAGAGAGAGAGAGAGAGAGAGAGAGAGAGAGAGAGACACACACACACACACACAAAGAGAGAGAATGAGAGAGATTGGGAAACTGAGAGAGAGTGAGACAAAGAAAGTGAGAGAGTGTGTGAGAGACAAAGTGAGAGACACAAGGAGAGTGAGCGAGAGTGAGAGAGAGAGAATGAGAGAGACATAGAGAGTGTGAGAGAGAGGAAACACTCTGAAGACTTCATAGTAAAGAATGGTGAGACAAGAAATACAGTGTTAGATAAAAGAATACTATAACAATGCTTGAACTTGGAGTTATGTGTAAATCTGGCAAAAAGAGACGTATGCAAGGAACACGTATGTTCGTTATGTGGATAACCAGTGTAAAACTGGAACGATCAACACCACGCCATTTGATTTGCACTGCACATTGTCACTTCTAGGATTGCAGTCCGCAGGATTAACACCTCAGGGATAAGAATCTTACATGTACCAATCCCGTTAAGCTCCGTTCAATCCTAATGTGATACTCCCCCCCCCCCCTCCCCCGACAGTTAACAAAGTGACCCGAAGTGTGAACCAGGTAGGGATGTAAGACATTTGCATTATAGTAGTAGTAAATTTTACCCCACTAGGACATCACACAAGCGATAAACACCCGATGACACAAAGTGCCACCATGTGGATGAGGATCACCCGTTCATCCATTTGACCATATATACGGCAGGGCTATATTGCGGCCCCTGGCAAGAGCCAGGATGGGGCTTCAAAATAACGAAAAATGGCATCCCACAAGGGGATGACTTATAAAAAGACATTTGCTGCGGAAGACGAAACTTATGTATGTCCAATGTCAAGAATAGTGGAAACGGGTGTGGAATCGGGTTGTATATTTCTCCACCTAAGCCATTCAGATAAGTATGAAAACACTTCCCCCTTCCCCCTCCCGATGAGCCGTCACCATCCAGCTCAGGGCTGTTATGGATAACCGAAGAGACGGATAATAGATACCTGTTAATGCATATATGTACAGTAATGTGATTTCACTGCAGGCTTGCGACGCAAATAAACATAACATCTTTCACAAGTGAATAATGCATAATACTGTATTAAATATTTTTTTGTTTGTTTGAACCAGAAGCACTTGAGCGTAGCTCATTTGGCTCGGTGTCGTGAGCATAGAAGCCCTTCAGCCTCGGTGCCACGTACATCGTTAATCTTGAGGAGTATACGGCTTTCAAAATAAAGAGTAGCAATGTAATGCCACAAGCCTATGCTACTTTAAAAAATCTGTCATCTCCTTCTAGAAGTAACCAGTGGACAATATTAAAGATGTGTGTATGTCTGTTGATACTCACACATTTTCTTTTAAACTATGATGGATAACAGAAACGTACGGTTAAACGAGTGACGGTTAATCGAAGTTTTTACTATTTATGTGTGTGTACAGGTGTGTGTATGTGTGTGGGTGGGTGGGTGTGTGTGTGTATGTGTGTGTGGGTGGGTGGGTGTATATATTCTCGACATGAGACTAAAAAACATATGTGAGCGATCTAACAGTGGATATCGGCTTATTCGAGATGACAGCTTAAACGACATAAGATCAAATCGCACGAGACGACAACGGAAATGACACGGGATAAGTTCGCCTGATATGACAAGGTAACAAAAGAGTTCTGGTTGCTTTGTCAGGCAGCAAACCAGGGGCCTGACATATTTCAGGCACGGAAGATGATTTACAGAAATTACTGACCAAGCTAATAAAAGAAATACACCCAAATTGATACCCCAAGCATCAGGGAGTAATTTCTCGTTAATCTGCCTTGTCAGAATATGTTTCGGAGTTTAACCATCTCCAAATTAAAAACAAAATATTCATACCTGATATGGGCTAGAGCCAAACTTTGATATTGTCAAAGGCACTGTTATATAAAGGGTAGTCGCGTGGCGTTGGGGGCTAGACGCCCGCATTCGGATCAGAGAGTTCGTGTCCTGGCGGAGCCAGACATTTTTTTCCCCTCCCAAAATGACCTTGATTCCCAGCTAGACCCAGGCTTGAGTGGGTACCAGGTGCAGTCCTGGGAAGTAAATGCGGCTAGCGTGATGCTGGCCACATCACCCACCAAGTGCCGATTGGTCTATAAAAAATACAGATCTAGCCCTATATTCCCAATACACCGGGAAGGCTAACCCGGTCAACAAATGCCCGCAGAAGTCGGATGTGTTGGCCCAAAGGTGCGAATATCGCAGCCATGCTGTAAACAGACACAACGCAATTACAGAAGAAGAATATTCCCAATACGCCTAAAGGCGTAACAAAAGGGACCTTTACCTACTGTTATTTAAAGGGTAGCCGCCGTGGTGTAGCGACTAGTCGCTCGCCTGCCGATATGAAGGTCGTGGGTTTGGGTCCTGGTGGAGCCGGAATTAAAGAAAAACATGAATTTGCCTCCCATGTCAACCTCAACTACAATGAGTACCAAATATAGTCCTGGGAAGTAAAGGCGAACGGCCTGATGTTGACCATATCACCGGCCGATGCCGACTAGTCTATAAAATACAAGTCTAGCCCTGAATGCCCAGTACGCCTGAAAGCGCGAAAACATGGTCCTTTTTACTGTTACATAAATGTTTCTGAGACGAATGTTACGAATACCTTGTTTGTTTGTTTGTTTTAGTATCCAGAAGCCATGAGTTGTTAACCCATAAGCTCGGTATTATGGATATCGCAACCTTTCAGCCTTGATTCCATTTTAAATACCGTAAATCTGGGAGAAATGTGGCTTTTCTGCCCACCCCCGGAAGTGAACCCGGACCACAAGGAGTTCGTCATCCGCTCACCGCGCAATCCGGTTTAGCCAACTACGCTAGAGAGACGGGCTACGAATAGCTTAGACAGCCAGGGTAACTATCAACGATTGCTCCAAAGAGGCTAAAGAAATTAGATCTGTCTATACAACAACAAGAAAGAGACAAACACTATTCTTTGGCCACAAAGTGAGAAGAGAAACATTGGAGAACATTGCGACAACTGGAAAGATCAGTGGAAAAAAAAAGAGATAGAAGCAGACCAAGAGAGATGATGCTGGATGGTCTGATCCGATGGCATGGAGGGATATCATCAACACAGCTGTCCCAGTCAACCAGGGATAGTGATATGTGGAGACGCATTATCGTCTACGCCAGTTGGCAGGGCACATAAGGATGATGCTGATAAAATATAACGTGTAACATAAGTTACTAGGTAGGAAAGCCACAAATTCAACCATCCGAGACCGAATGAGAAATAATACTGCCAGACGGAATGTGAGAACAACACCTTGACCAAGTTATTCATTGAGAAGCAGAAGTTTTCGGTTAGTGAGGACTTTGAAGATATGCATCAACACAGAAAGGGACGCGCTTAGGAAAACCAGCATTAGAGAGAATGTTGGAACAAGAACATGTCTTGATTACACTTACAGACAAAGAATGAAATGGTTCGGCTATCTAGTCAGAATGCAGCCATACAAAACTGCTAATGGGATTTTAAAAAATATTTTAAATTAAAAAAAAAAAACAACAACAACACATTAACAGCAGTAGAAAATAATGGAGGGAGGCTACTTGAAGATAAAAAAAAAAATAGACACGGATAAATGGTGTAACTGAAACCTGCAAAAAGATGAATAAATTCATTACCCAAGCCACCTGAGAGGCGAAAGACAAGCACAGAAAACCATGACATCGGGATTCATTACCCAAGCCACCTGAGAGGCGAAAGACAAGCACAGAAAACCATGACATCGGGATTCATTAGCCAAGCCACCTGAGAGGCGAAAGACAAGCACAGAAAACCATGACATCGGGATTCATTAGCCAAGCCACCTGAGAGGCGAAAGACAAGCACAGAAAACCATGACATCGGGATTCATTAGCCAAGCCACCTGAGAGGCGAAAGACAAGCACAGAAAACCATGACATCGGGATTCATTACCCAAGCCACCTGAGAGGCGAAAGACAAGCACAGAAAACCATGACATCGGGATTCATTACCCAAGCCACCTGAGAGGCGAAAGACAAGCACAGAAAACCATGACATCGGGATTCAACCTGGTATCAGTGAGATGACAACAGAAGAAGACGTAGAAGAAAAAGGAGGAGGAGGATGAGAACGAGGAGGAGGAGGAGAAAAGGAAACAATGACACGGTCACCCTGTCACCCTGCTTCTCACTGGCTGTAGAAGCGCGACCACAGAATCAACTAATTTAGAAAATTTGTCTGAAATGTACAGAACCAATGTGTACTAAACGTTGTGTTTGACTTCCGTGGACTCTCACTTGAAGTTGACGTCCATCAGTCTGAAGATGGGATTAACAAGCAAACAGTCAGCATTGTCAACACGACGTCAATACATTTTTTTTTAACTTCAATCCCAACATTGCCTCTTATTCAATCACTCTCCAAACATATTTCAAACTGCCTTCTTCGTCCTTCGCGTACAAACGAATTCACCACAATCAAATATAAATTATAAAGTAAACATCAAATTAATACAAAGCATATTGCCTTAAATGTAGAGATCTAATAAATAACAAACTCGGTCATATTTAAGCATTTGAGTCAATTTTAGAACTTCGTTAACGTGCACGGCGTCTGTCAATTTCAGAACCTGAGTCATTTTCTGAGTCTATGAAAACAGGATCTGCTGGCTTCACTTCCCCATGAAAATAATTGGCGAAAAGCTATCGACAGGATAAATATGTGGAGAACTGAGATGCCAAATTAGGAAGAGATTGCACATCACTGGTTTCCAATGCAAGGAAAAGTCCGCAATT